CCAATTCCAACTTCAGTGTTCTCTTCAGTGCAACACAGTGTAATGAAGTGGAATTATTTAAAGCAGATTACTAGCTTCCTCCTTTTATGAAGCGTGTAGAACTTCTTCTGGAACTCAGGGCTTAGACAGAGGAAGTATGCTGTATTGTTCAGACTCCATGTCCTGCTGGAAGGAGCTGAGCTATGATTAGTAGTGCCCTTCTCTTTCTTAGAGGACTCATCGAACTCTAGCCCCTTACCTAATGGTCCAGGACTGCTTTTCTCCAGAGCGTGTTCTCCAGGCCCTCTGAGTGGATTCATTGTAAACCCAGATGACAATGTTTCCGGGGTTGGGTGCAATTGTTCCAAGGACACGAAGTCTGGGCCAATGGAGAGGAAGTGGGGGAATGAGTGGCATGTGTCTCTCAAAGCCATCCACCATGTCAAGGTGACATGGAAGTGGCCTGGTCTGACAGATTGTCATGGCATAAGAGGTCCTCCCAGGAACCAAACTCTTGAGACTGGGGTAAGAGAGGTATGAGGGAGCTTTCTCCCGTAATCTGGGATTCCATTCATATTACACTGCGAGAGATATGCCAAGCCTCCTCTGGGGAGTTGTCCCACACTATCCTTCTTCCACCAGAGGCCTGAGATGGAGAATGGAAAGATACATAGAGCCAGATGGCAGACTCTATGAGGTCACAGCTTGGAAGATTCCACCTGCCTTTGGAAAGCAGCTTTTGAAATCATACAGCCTGGAATTCAAGTCCAGTCCCACCACTTAGTAGTTGTCCAGTTTCAGGGAATGCATTTTAGTCGTTTTAGCTTTTGTTTTCTCATCTTTAAAATAGGATAATAATAATCCCTACTTCGTCAGGGTATTGTGCTTACAGGAAAAAATACAATCAGGTGTTTAGGACAGCATCTGGAACATAGCAAACATTCAGCAAATGCTAGATACTATCATTAGCACCACCATCATCATTACTAGGAGCTCTTGAAATCCATCTCCTGATGTTCTCCAATAGCACTGAGACAAGGACTAAGCAATTATGGGAAACAATGGCCCTACGGAATCTAACCAAACCCCAGAGACAGCTGGATTGATAACTAGACTGTGACTGGCTTCTTCTCCAAAGAGCTATCGTCTTCCCAATTCCCAACTCACACACTTCACCCTTTCCTTCTTCCCCAGAGAAATTCACCAGTCAGCAGAGTTGAGAAAGCCAGAAAATATGGCTGGTATTTGGAGAAGCCTGGAATCCAGGGACCGTAGGAATACCATTAGAAATCCCTTCCCTCCTAGATCTCTCTGGAGACCCTGAACCAAGTTGGAAGCCCCACCAATCCCCTTCAATTATTTTTGTACCCTATATTGATGTTCTTGTGTGGCGCTATTGGTCAATGCGTCAGACTGCAAAGCCGTTTGAACTGCAAGGTCGGCAGTTCAAGCTCACCAGCTGCTCCTTGGAAACCCTATACAGGGTCGGAATTGACTCAATGGCACTTAACAACAACAACATAGATGTTCTAAATTCCCTGGGTGGTGAAGACTTCATACCTACAAAAAAAAAAAAAAACAAGTTGCAAATCCACTTATATACTAGGAAGCCTGAGAGAAAAGGGGAAGAGTCTAATTCTAAGGAGAAAAGAACAGAAATGGCCTAAGTTTTAACTCTCAGCCACAAGATCTGGGGTTGACTTCTGAGGATCTGATTCACTTCCTTTGGTGGACAAAGATGTCTATTGGTTTTCCGAAATGAGTTCTTTCTTTCTCAGGTCGCAACTGTTATGAGAACCAGCCAAGGATTACCTTTCCCAGTCCCATGTCATCACTTCTAACTGTGATAGAAAATGCTGTGTATCATTTTGTGGACAGAGAACTTAAGAAATAAGTGTAACTTCTTCACATTTCCTCTCTTCTTTCCCTGGAAGAGGATGCCATTTGGGATGACAAAGTTGAAAATGGAAAATGAGTCCTTGAAAATTCATGTGGAAGAAGCTTCCTGTGCATCTGACTACCCCATTGGACTGTTATATGAACGCGAAACTTCTATTGGGTTAAACTGAAATTGAGAGGCTTATTTATTATAGCAGTTAAGTGTTTACCCCACCTATTAATACAATGAACATGATACCCACCCTTCCCTTCATACATTCTTGTGCAGATTAAGTGGAGGAAGAACTTCCTTTGGCGTTGATACAAGATGTCCAAAGGCCTGACGTATAGGAAGAAACATGGAGAATCCTGTACTTGTGGCTAGAGGCATGAATGTGTTGAGATCAAGGGCATTGTTGGGGATTCACCAGTGGGATCACAATGGTTGAGATGAATATATCAAAAATAGGAAACGTAAGAGCAGAAAAAGAGGTAGATCCTTCAGAAGAGGCCCATTGGAAATAATTAAGCATTGGGACTTCCTTCTAAACATACCTCTTTGGTGAGTTAGCAGCAGAGGCAAAGGTAGAAAAAGAAGAAACTCCCAAACTGAACCCATTGCCTTTGAGTTGATTCTGACTCATAGCGACCCTATAGATAGGACAGAATAGAAATGCTCCTTTGGGTTTCTGAGATTATACATCTTTATAGGAGCAGACAACCTCATTTTTCTTTTGCAGGACAGCTGGTGGGTTTGAGCTCCTGACCTGTGGTTAGCAGCCCAATGCTTAACCCACTGCCACCATGGCTCCATTGTTGTTGTTAAGTGCCATCAAGTCGGTTCCGAACCATAGTGACTCTGTACAGAGTTTCTGAGGCTGTAAATCTTTACAGGAGCATAAAAACCTCATCTTTCTCCCGCAGAGCGGCTGGTATATTCGAACTGTTGACCTTAAGGTTTGCAGCCCAATTCATAACCACTACATTACCAAAGGACTCCTCCATGACTTCATAGGAGGGAAAAAGGACAAGCACTGAAGGGCCCTTTCTTCTGCCTATTCTTTAAGACTCCTTGTAAATCTTACCTCTTCTTGAATCCTTTTATGACCTCTCTAAGCTGGTAACTTCACATCTGTGTTCTAAGTGCACACTCAATCATAGCTCCTATCACACTGGGTCAGGACTGTATGCTTACTTGCCTGAACCATGAGCTCCTTAAGGATACCACCATGCTTTATGTACCCTCATCCCTGGTACAGAGTAGGTACTGATATTGTTGATATATATATGATAGATGGATAGATGTATAAATGAATGATCAAGTAAACAACTACCAAACTAAGAACCAAAACTGAGCATGTCTGGGCACCTGGGTAGGCAACCTCAGTTTTCTACCATGTTGTTGTTAAGTGCCATCAAGTCAGTTCCAACTCATAGTGACCCTGTACAGGGTTTCTGAGAAGTAACTGGTGAGTTCAAACTGCTGACCTTGAGGTTCACAGTGCAGTGCTGATCCTACAGCACCACACCATGGGTGTAAATGAAGCATCCAATGACAAATTCTTCAGGACACACAACTTTTATTGCTGAAGACCACTGCTTGGGGGAGGGTACTAAGGACATGAACATTACTTTCTTTCCTGTAACCAAGGTAACCAGCCCCATCAGACACTGCCCAGCCATTCTAAACAACTCCAGCCTGTTCCCCCCTACCCCAGAAGCTGCCTGTAACCAGGGTGCTGATGGTTGGGCTGAGACAAATCCCCTTAGGCCCTGCCTAAAGGGACCCAAACAGGCCCAACAAAGACAAGGAGACTGGAGGTGAAAAGTGTCCCAGATACAAGGCTAGAAAGTCCAGACCTTGTGCTTATGAGAAGGCAAGCACACTGGGGGCTTGCAGGAGTAGGGTCAAATTGGGATCCTTCAGAAAGGCTGTTAGAAGGACAAGGGAACAGTGAGACAGCTTCTTCTCTGTGGTAGTTTCCCAGTCAGTGTGATGTTTCAGGAACAATGGAGAAATTGACAAATGGAGAAAGCTGAGAAGAAATCCCAAGGTTCCAGGAGCCAGAACAGCCTATCCACATGGATTTTTTCCAGGGTGCTTGGAGCCCAAGCAGGAGCAACATCCATTTTTTCATCCCCTGGTTCCAGCCCATGGAGGCAGCAATAGTGCATGCTGTCATGGCTCTCTTTGTATAGGACTTGCCTGCCAGCTTCAAAAGGATTCATTTCCCTGAGTATGTCAAAGGGTTCCAGAGGCCAGCCAGATTGACTTGGACAATGTTCAGCTTGAAGACTTTGTCCAGTCCCTTCACCCAGTCCTTTCTTACAGTCCTTTCCTGTCCTGGGTTTGGAGTATTCTGCAAGACTCTATTACAGTGCAACTCCTGTGAGTCCCCTGGAAGTCTTGGGGTGATTGATGCTAGCCCTCAAGTCTCCTGGACTTTTGGGAGAATCTTTAAAAACATGCCTGTTTCCATTTTTTAAATATAAAAATAAAATAAAATAAGCTTCAACAACTTGTGACCTAACAAATCCAGTTAGCCTTATTGACACTTATTAGCTTGCACAGCCGAAGCCACAACCCATCTCTTGATATTCATGGCCCCAGCTGGAGCTCTGAGCACGCAATGGGAATACCTTTCCCAATGGGCATACTTTTCTCAGTCCAGCACTGGTAACTTGTTTGTTGGTCACAGGACAGCAGTGATGTCTGTCACCTGGACTCAGGTTTTTCTGGTCATCTGAGCACACTTTCCTGGCTCTTCCCTGGGCTCTGCTTGGGCTCCACCTTCTTCATGCAACTATGGACTGTCAACCTTTGTTGGAATATTCACAGTGTCCAAACTGGTATATTCAGATGGCTCCCAGCCTGAGACTGAGATTTCAAGAAGAGTTGACACCTCTCTTGGTTTCTGAAGAAGTTGTGAGAGCAGTCACAATCACACACAGACACTCTTCTTCTCTCTCTCTCTCTCTCTCTCTCTCACACACACACACACACTCACAGAGGCAGCAGACCGTGGAGGTGCCTGTAATGAAGTGCTCATATGGCCTTTATCCCAGATGATGTTGTAAATGGACCAGTCACTTCAATCAGTCTTCCCAGCAGCCAGTGTTGTGAGATGAAGCAGGACCTCACCCTAGGATTTCTGGAAGCGCACCTCACGCTGAGGAAGAGAACAGGAAAATCAGGGACAGTGGGAGAACACAGACACTGAAAAAGTTTGTGGGAGTTCCTGAGTAGTATAAATGGTTGACATGCTTGGCTGCTAGGGGAAAGATGGCAGTTTGAGTTTATCCATCAATGCCTCAGAAGAAAAGCCTAGTGATCAGCTTCTGAAAAGTCAGCCATGGAATTCCTTGTGGAACACAGTTCTGCTCTGATACATGTGGAGTCATCATGAGTTGGCATCGACTCGCTGGTTACTGATAGAAAAGAGGGGCAGCAAAGGGAAAAAGACAGAGTAGGTTCGAAGAGACCCAACACACTGAACTTTCTCTTGCTCCCTCATCTAATTTCTCTGTTGTTCTGCCCTTGACCCTGGCAGGGAAGGGAAGAGCTGGCCACAGTTGTTTTACAGATAAGAGACAACAGGCCCAGGTAAGGTTCAGGTTGAACTAGGTCAGCAGAGAGCAGGGCATGGAACCCTGTCTCCTGATGTTGGTTTCCCAGTACACCAACTTCCTGCCAAGGAGGGGGAGTCCTCCTACCACATCCTACCCTCAGTGGTCTGTATAAATTCACAATGTGGCATCACCAAGGAGAAGAGAGTGGCATTAGGGCTGGCACCAAAGCCTAGGCCTCACTTCTTTCAACCCTCAGTGCTCTGTTCTGAGGAGAGGAAAGAGGGAACACAACAAAGGGAGCTGGGATTGTTAACAGGCTCTCAAGCGACTTCTTTTCTGTCCTGCTCTCTTGGGCCTTCTGAACATCCTTGAATGTGGGGGGCAAGGCACTTCTGCCTAAGGCCCTGGGAAAACTGCCCTTGGCCCTCTTGTAGACACCCCAGCTTTGAGAGTACTCAGACTGCTTGGTATAGAATGCCCCCCACAGGTCTCTCACCTCCATTTTTCTGTAAATCCACGGGAGGACTTCTGTCACTTTGGTGTATACACCGGGTTTGTTTCTTTGGCCACAGCCTGTACCCCAGCTGGTGACTCCTGTCAGGTACCAGCGGTTGTTCTGCTCACAGACAAGAGGCCCCCCGCTGTCGCCCTATAGGGGAGATGGGAATATCAGCAGGGACAATGGTGGGGCACCTGATTCTCACTCCAACCCCAACACCCCAGGCTCCCCCATTACCCAGGTCCTGGAACCCCTGCCGCACCCAGAAACAGTCTACCTGACAGGAGTCTCTGCCTCCTCGAAGGTCCCCAGCACACATCATCCTTGGAGTAAGGTAACTGTCATAGACCGAGTAGTCATTGCACTTCTTAAAGTCAATGAGGTTGACCTGTACTTCCCGAAGGAAAGGGGATGTCTTGTCTTCCGTGAAGAAGAGTTGAAGGAAAGAAAGGATGAGATGAGAAGAAGACTCCAGGCAGCTTCATGGAATTCTAGCTGTCCACCCCAGCTAGAATGGTCTCATAGAATTGGAGGGCACCATTCCTGTGCCTGGTCAATGAGCAAGTGGAGTCCTCTGTGTTGGATGCCCAGGACATATGGGCACGCACACACCCTCATACCAATCACAAATTCCCTACACACAAAACAGATGTGCACACTGTATAATTTCATCACACACATACACACATACACACATACACATGCAACTCAAAAGCCGGTCGGGCCACCTTACATTTTGCACAATGCTTTTGTATGTTCAAGGCAGCATCAAGTTTATCAGTTGGTTTGTTTTGGGTAACTATGTGTCCTAGTAAACGCAGCTGTTATTAACCTACTTAGAAAGGAGGAAACTTAACGCTGAAGAAGTGACTTGCCCATAACAAGACAGCAGCTAGTTACACGGCCAAGATCAGAAAAAGGGTTTCTCACAGGCTAGTGATCAATCCATCACACTGAGCCTGAGGGAAGCTGACCTTTCCTCAGACACCCAGAGCTGACCTGACTCCAACAGCCAGCAGCCAGGCCAGGTGTTCCCTGCTGGACAGAAATTCTGTATTTTTACATAAATAACGTACATGTCATGGTGTGGCACCGGAGGATAACACACTGGGCAAAGTCAGTTTGAACAGCAAGGTTGGCAGTTCAATCCCACCAACCACTCCTCAGAAACTCCATACAGGGTCCCTACGAGTCAGAACCGACTTAATGGCACTTAACAACAACAGCAATAACTGAACAACACCTCCCGCCCCCACGTTATTTCCATAAGAATGCCATTCTAGTTTCCTCCCATTATACAAGTGGGTGTGTTATTTATGTGGATGCCTTATTTAATGTTGTTGTTGTTAAGTACCATGGAGTAGGTTCCGACTCATAGTGACCCTGCACAGGGTTTCCTAGGCTGTAAATCTTTACGGGAGCAGAAAGCCTCATCTTTCTCCTGTGGAACAGCTGGTAGTTTCGAACTGCCGACCTTGGGGTTAGCAGCCCGATTCGTAACCACTACACTACAAGAAATCCTTATTTAATGTTAGGTAGACTCGATGGCACTTAACAACAACAACAGACATTTTATAACAAAAGGAGGGGAGTGGTTGATCTTGCAGTCCAGGAGCAGAGGACCTTGGGACTGGGACCATCAAGGGAGAAAAGTGCAGTGCAGGACCCTACCCAAAGAAGAAGTGACACCAGAGATGGAGGCAGAGACCATAGCGTGGAGAGATGTAGCCGCTGGGGACTCTGGGCTAAGGGAGGGAAGGAGTTGTGTGCTGACGGCCGGCTGGAAGCAGGCTTGTGGGGTGTACCCTTTGGCTGTTCGAATGGTTATATATTCCTGAGTGCTTCGGTGTACATCCAAAAACAAAAGAGGGAATGGAAGCAAATGCTGTTGAATGATCATGCATGGAGGGGATTGTAATCATTGCAATGAAATGAAATATGATAGGATGAATGTCAAGCTCATGTTCTCCCATGTAAACTACCACTCAATTCACAATAAAAAACTTTAAAAAAAAAGAGAGAGAAAGAAATGATAATCTCCCAGAACATAGACATAAGACAAGACTACTCTGTGAGTCCTGGTGTGGTGCTGTGGGTTAATGCGCCAGACTGCAAAGCCATTTGAACTGCAAGGTTGGCAGTTCAAGCTCACCAGCTGCTCCTTGGAAACTCTATACAGGGTCGCTATGGGTTGGAATCGACTCGATGGCACTTGACAACAACTCTGTGATCATGATGAATTAAAGAAAAAGAAAAAGAAAACACAAAAAATCAAGAAGAAACAAGATCGCTTCATAAACTTGTGTTGTTGTTTCATACCTTTCGAGTCAGTTCTGACTCATACACACTCTGTATAGGGTTTCCAAGGAGAGTCTGGTTAGTTTGGACTGCAGACCTTGAATTTAGAAGTCCAGTGCTTATCCTACAATGCCACACCATGACTCTTGGGTAAGCACAGACAAAAACAAGATCACTGTGCAAGCAACAAAATATCAAACTACTTCCCTCTCTCGGCCAGTTGGAGTTTCTGCTGCTGCTTTACCGATTCCAGCTTTAACCTCAGTCTAGTCTTCCTTCCTTCTTAATAAGATTACTGAAGTGGCCAACCAGAATTACCTCTGGTTCCTGACAGTATGCAATCCAGAAAAATACTTTCTCCGTGGAACCCCAAGTCACCCAAAACCAATGATAAGTTCTTTCTTGCTGCTGCCTGAGATGCCCATAGTTTTCCATAGTATGCATGCTGCCTCACAGAAATGAGCAGTAAATCCAGATTGTTCTACTACAGTTGTTTTCCTAGTGGTCTTCGCTGGAGCACACTGTCACATTATCTGTCTTGACATGTATCTGGTCTGGGTGTACATATGTATATGAGGGGTCTTCAAAAAGTACATAGAAAAAAGGAATGAAAAGATAATGGAATTTCCCCATGAACTTTTGGAAGCCCCCTCATACACAAATATGCCCCCAGACATATGAGGCTCCATTTCCAACCTACATACTCTCATTTACATGCCTCAACATATCACCCACATGTGCTACATACATATACACGTGTACACACACACTTTAACTCACCATCTGTTTCTCTGGTCTTGCCAAAGCCTGTGATCCAGCAGGTCTCATTGAGACTAAAGGTCTGTCCATGCATGGGGAGGCAGGCAGGGTGGATATGAGCTGCAAAAAATTCTCAAGACATTAATTAAGGAACAAGGGTGGAGATTTAATGGACAGGGCATGGAGGGGCAGAAGTACCAATGTCCTCCTTGATATCAGGGTGGTTTGGATCCTCCACAGAAGAAATGGTATCAGTCTTTATCTTATCCCCTCCAGTCTTCAGGGTACCCCCAGAAGACCCAAAGTCATTCTCATGTCAGTGGTTGCTATTTGGGAAGATGCATATGCTTTCCATGGGCCAAACTGGTCCTGAAGGTTGAACTTCAAGAGCAACTCTCTTGTTTGAACTTCTTGTATACCTTTCTATCAGAGCAAGGAGCAACAGCCTACAAAGTCCTCCATATTATGCCCACGGTGTCTCAGTGTTGTGTCTAGCCTAGTCTGGGAATGGTACCTGCTGATTGGCCAGGACCATGACCCTCCTTCCAAATGTTCACCCATCCCAGGATGAGAACATCCATCCCAGCAGGAGGTTCAAACTCACCAGTTACTCCTTGGGAACCCTATACAGGGTCGATATGAGTTGTAACTGACTCGACAGCGACAGCACTTAACAACAACAACAAAGGCAGGGGCCACCAGACAGCTGCTAACTTGCTCCCACACTCAGAAATATTTAGGAGCTACTGTTACACATTATTTTGTAATCTCTGGTTGCTATGAGTCGGAACC